CTCCGATGCCTCGGATTCATCATCTGTCCTCGTTTAACATTTAATGTTAAAGAAGGACAGATGATGAATTCGAGGCATCGGAGGCATCCGAGCGACGTTTCCGAATGCAGCCATAGTCGGTATGACAGATTTCCTAACCTGCAGAGTCGTCAACTTTAACGCTAAATATCTCGGTTCGCGAGGCAGAGCGACACTTTTTTCTGCCAGATTCTTTCGTTTTGTGCAAAAACGCGTCGAATAAGCCTAATTTCATCGAAATCGGAGGTGAGGGAGGTATTCTGAATAATTACCAAATTTTAAATTGATGGAGGTAAGTGACTGAACGAAAAGCGAGTTTGCTTCGACTGATATGATTACGCGCTTTTCCGTACATGATTGACACGAGTCGATTACAATTAACTTAGATACAATTGAGATACAATTGTTACGCAAATGTTATCATTCTCACACATCCTTTGACGGAGTAGTAGAGGCGGTGACTCTAGGCAGTAGCACTAATTTTACGAGAGGCCGGATTAGTTCGGATGTTGTGCGGACGGTTGCCATCCGGCTCACCCCGTCTTCGCCTGGATGCAATTTTATAATTCGAGCCAAAAGCCATCTGCTTGGCGGTGATATCTCTGAGGCGATGAGACACAGCGATCCAAGATGAGGAGCGGCGTTTACCCGGAACCACTTAGGACGTGAGGTCAAGGAATGCAGGTACTCACGCGACCACCTTTCCCAAAAATGATCTCGCATTTTTTGCAGGTGTTGCACCGAGAGAGAGAGAGGGAGAGGGAGAGGGAGAGGGAGAGGGAGAGAGAGAGAGAGAGAGAGAGAGAGAGCGCTTCCTGGTTTCTCGGTTAACGATGGTTCTGGAATGGCTAGCAATGGAGCACCAATTAATAGATGTCCTGGAGTGAACGCGGACAGGTCTTCGGGGTCATCGGACAACGCTTGCAGAGGCCGTGAGTTTAGACATGCTTCCACCTGAGCGAGGAGAGTACTCATTTCCTCGAAGGTGAGCGTGGTGTCGCCTATCACTTGTCGAAGATGATATTTGGTGGATTTTGCGGCTGCCTCCCAAAGGCCTCCAAAGTGTAGTGCGGAAGAGGGGTTGAAGTGTCATCGGATCCCTTCCATGACAGCAACATTTGCGATTTGACAACCGGTGACGGAGGATGCACGAAGAAGCTCTCTGAGTTGTCGATCGGCGCCGACGAAGTCGTGCCGCAGTCGGAGTAGATGTCCGTGCACAGTGATGTCACCGTCGTGATGTGAATCGACGAAGAGCGGCTAGAAAAGCGTCGGTCGTGTAGTCAGAGACGATCTCGAGGTGAATTGCCTTGGAGCATAGGCACACGAAGATGGCGATGAATGCCTTGATTGACTTGTGGCCACGTCCTCGGCTCGTTCGAACAAAGATCGGTCCGGCGTAGTCGATGCCGGTTTTGATGAAAGGACGTGCAGGAGTTACTCGTCCTTGAGGAAGATTACCCATCGGCGGCTGTGGTGTAACTCCTTTCCATCTAGTGCATGGAACACATCGATGTAACTAGTACTTGACAACGGCTCGACCTCGAGGGATCCAGAAGCGGAGTCTCACCAGGCTCAGAGTCAGTTGCACTCCTCCATGAAGTGTTCTGCGGTGACAGGATGTCACCAGCAGTCGAGTGAGATGAGATTGTGGAGACACGATCATAGGGTGCCGCTTGTCGGGAGAAAGAACGGCGTGCTTAAGACGACCTCCGACTCTCAGCACCCCGTGGTTATCGAGAAACGGATCCAAGGCTCGTAATTGGCTGCGGGACGACATTGGACGGTGGTCCTTGACGGCAGCGATCGGGTGGGAATAGTGTATTGTAGTTTTTGGATTGTTTGGATCCACCGAGAGAATGCCTCGTCGAGCTTCTTGGGCGTCAGCGTGGATCCTGGGATCCCCTTTTGAGGTGGTGTCCCTCTGCGGCGCGGCCATCATAGGCACCACGCTGTGACTCTCAGCAGTCGGTGAAGTGAAGAGAATCAAAGGAGGAGTTCAGGCTCAACAATAGACCTTGCGGTAGCGGTACGGACGCTGGCGCGTTGCTCGGGCAATTCATCCAGCGGGTTCTCGGAGTGTTCGCTGGGCCAGGCTGGCGTGTTCTTGATGAGCCAAGAGGGGCCTGAGAGGATGATTGTTGATCTCGCTTGGCGCTATCCCCCGGGAGGTGCAATCGGCCGGATTGTCCTTTCCTGGTACATGGCGCCATTGTGCTTCCGGGAACATTCCCTGTATGAGAGACACGCGGTTGGCCACAAAGGTCTTTCATCGTGAGACGTGCCCTTGGATCCATTGCAGCGTGACTCTGGAATCGGACCATAGCGTGACTGGAGCTGTGGACAAGCTTAAGACAGTGTGTGTGTGCACAATTAAGTTCGCGAGCAGGGCGGCGGCGCACAGTTCCAGGCGTGGCAAGGACACGGGCTTGATCGGAGCGACCTTGCTCTTCGCCGCTAATAGGAATACAGCGACGTTATCAGTGCGGGCGACGCGGAGGTAAGCTACAGCGGCATATCCTCTTTCGGACGCGTCGGCGAATTCGTGCAGCTCTATCCTCGGCGCCGGTACCCAACCAACGGTTGATTCGGAGCTCCTTGAACTTTGGAAGTTCCTCAAGGAATCGACGCCATTGGCAGGCGTCTGCTCGCGGGAGCGAGGCGTCCCATTCCAGCCGTTGCAATGCGGATTGGATTAAAATTTTGGCGCGGATCACCACCAGAGCCATCCAACCCAGCGGATCAAACAGTTGCGCGGTTTCCGTTTCTTTTTGTGAATTCCTTGTTAGTGCGACTTCGGATCGCGAAGATGAACACGTCATCGGCCGGGTGCCACTGCAATCCCAGTATCGTGTGACTCTCGTGTTCCCATGAGCAAAAATCGGTAACGAGACAGTCATCCACAGGAATTTCGACAAGAATTTCAGGGTGATTAGCGGCCCACTTCTTCAGCGGAAACCCGCCCGCCATGTACAGTTGATGGAGTTCCCTCTGCATCGCGACTATTTCGTATTTGGTGTGCGCTCCGGTCACGATATCATCGATGTAACAGTCGCGTCTCAGCAAGGCGGAGCCTCGCGGAAATCTTGCTTCTTCGTCGTCAGCAAGTTGGCGTATTGTACGGATGGCTAGAAATGGAGCGCACGACAGCCCGTAGGTGACCGTGTTCAGCCGAAATTCGCGAACCGGATCGCTGACCAAGTGACGCCAGAGTATGCGTTGGAAGTCTCGATCCAGGAGACACGAGGATTTGATGGTACATTTTCTCAATGTTTGTTACGAACACGAATCGATGCCACCGCCAGCGCGTGAGCACGTCAGCGAGCGACGGCAGCAAATTAGCGCCGATTAGCAACTAGGAATTCAGAGACTCACCGGACTTTGACTTTTGAGACCCGTTGAATACTACTCGGAGTTTGGTCGATTCTCGGAGCACTCCGTGATGAGGTAAGTAGCATCTGGCATGTAACTCCGATGACCTTGGCATTAACTCCATATGATTTAAGTCTTCGTATTCCGTTAGGAAGGCGTGGTAGAGATGCCCGAAGCGAACATCGCGGTCGCCACGTCGCTCCATGGCGGTCAGCATGCGCTCGGCCGGCTGGCGGGTGTCACACAGTACCGTGGGCGACGAGGCAAACGGCAGACGCACCACGTATCGTCCGGTAGCTGTGCATTTATGCGTTTGAGTGAAGATGTCCTCACATCGCTGCTCGTTTGGCGTGAAGGCTACAGGAGCGGAAGGCTCCCTTTCTTGTTCCCAAAAACGTTGCACGAGCGCGGTCAGCTCGTAATCGGCGGTGGCTTGAAAGGAGCGGAGTGAAATCACTGGCTGGGAGTCGCCGCAACCCCCCGAGAGAATCCAGCCGAATAGAGTGCGCTGGGCGACTGGAGTTTGAAGATCACTCTTTCGAAGGTCCTCCTGAAGGATGATGGAGCATATTTCGGCATCAAGCAGCAACTCGATGGGGTCGGTGGCCATAAACTGAGGGTCAGCGAGTTGAAGGTCCTCAATGTGTGGCCATGTGGACTTGGCCTTGGGTGCTGCGCCTTGGTACAGAGATAGACGTGGCAGGATGAAGGCGACGGCAGCTACCTGGGCTCCAGTGACGTTGGACGTGAGGTTGAGCGACACCTCCAGCCGCGGCTGGAGCCCGAATGAGAGCCGCCGATTCCGAAAATCGAGAGTGACGCACGTGATCGCGGCAAGCGTAGACGCTGTACTAGCGCCTCGGAGATCAAGGTGACTTCCGATCCTTGATCAATTAGTGCTTGAATCGGATGTGGATTCTCGTTACGGTCGGTGACGGTAACTCTCGCGGTGGCGAGCAGAATAGCCTTGCAGTCCTCGTCTCGACGCACTGCAGTCAGCGTGCTCACGTCGGCGAGCTTCGAAGTGACGAACGCTTCGTGAAGGAGCGAATGATGTCTCGCCTTGCAGATGAGGCACGTCTTCGTAGACTGGCACTTCGCGATCGGATGCGAACCGAGGCAATTATAACACAACCGGTGTGTCTCCGCGACGGACTTCCGGTCGGGTGCGGACTTTGCTTTGAACTAGTTGCACATCATGACATTGTGCCTAGCCTTGCATAGGACACAGCCAAACGTTTCGGTCGTGCACTTGGCGACATGCGTTTTCGCGCTTCGCGGCGGGTCTCCGGAGACCTTAGCGGTTTTCGGTCGTGCGGCCTTGAGTGTCAGTTTTCGCTTGGCGATGAAATCCATGAGAGTGTCATGATCCAGCAAATCCGTCGAGTTACTGATTTGAGATTCCCACTCGAGGCGAGTCTGCGGGTCGAAGAGCTCAATGATGAGATGATTGAAGAAGTCGAAGCCGTGGGAATTAATTGGTTTTCCGATGCTGTCCTGACCGTTCACTGCGCTGAGCGCTGCATTGTAAATACAGCTGAGCTCTTCGGCTGAGTCGCTCTTCATTTTTTGCACGGTGGTAAAAGTGCAAAAATTGGAACGCGACAATTCTCTTTTATTTTCAAAGTGCTTGCACAACAGCGTCCACGCCCGCTGGTAATTATCTCCGGTTACGGCTAAAGGACGTATCAATGTTTCAGCTGGTTCCTCCAAACAGTGCTTCAAGTGATGGAACTTTTCTACGTTTGAGGAGGAATTGTTCCCGACTATGGACAGGAATATGTCTCGAAATGAGGGCCAGTCTTCGAACGCGCCCGAGAACGGCCGGATTTTCAGACGCGGCAACGCGGATTTGGTGGACAAATCGGTTCCCGATTCACTCGGAGGAACAGGTTTCGATTGTTCAGCCTTGAACTTTGTTACGTAGTCGTTTAACAGACTACGCTGCTGCACATAGATAATCTCAGCAGAATCGGCAAATTGAGATGTATTATACTGTACTCACTCTCGTCGTACGATTCCTTGTAACGCGCTCGTATGAGCTCATGCTGCCTTCTAAATTTTGTCCATAGTTGATCGAGAAGCGTTAGGCGGGTTTCGGCAGCGCGTAGAGTGAGGTTCGCTGAACCCATCTCTTCTTCAAATTTGACACAGATCGGGCCATGCAACCGTGGATGTCACTTTGGGCGGTTAGCAAGGTATTTATATCCACACTCATGATTCACTCACTTATTTTCTCTCTTTGTTCTTGTAGGTATCGCGCGCACTGAACGCAACGGCGGCAATTCCGAACGCGCAATAGTCGACGAAGCGATATTCGGCTCGAAGGACCAGCAAATGTTTGAGAGAACGAGAAAGAACGTTTGAACGGAATAGAAAGTCACAAGTACAAAAAAAAAACTTCAACGCGAATTTCACTAGAAACAAGGAACAATCTTTAATTTTCACAAATCACAGTTTCTTACAATTTCAGACGTAAACGAAACAGGAATTAGATTGAAATTACGAACTCGCAATACTACTTTCAGATACGCAAGAAAGACATTTCCCAAGTTTTAGGAGAATGCCTCTTTTTTTACTTTCGGCGGTTTTTCCGGCGGAGCGATACGGATATCGAACAGTCTCGAAGGCGGTTGACTAAGGAAGAGGCGCAGCCTGATTCGGCCTTTTATTGACTTGACGAAAAAGGGGGTCCTTTCGTCAGTCGCCTATGGGATCCCTCAAAAATCCGAATTTTTTAGGTGACCTCGTGATTTTGGTTGCGATTGGCGATTTTGATTTTACGGCGCTAAGTTAAGTTTCGTTGCCATGCGCGATGGAAATTCAGCGCTGACGATTGAAGCGCGAACGAAAGACGCGTTTTACGTAGCGCGCGCGCGCTTGCCCTGCGGTATCGAGAATTAGAATAGCCGTTTTACTAATGTTTTGTGTGTATATATACAGCGTGCAAAGTGATGACAATTTAACAAGGAAGGGTGATCTTCACGAAATCTAGAATATTCTAAAACTACCTTATAGCAACAAAGCTTTCCCGATGTTTTTCGCCTACATGCTGTACATACTTTTTTTTTCTATAAACTTTTCTCACGAATGCTAATCTTGAACAATTATTATTACAAAATTTTTTAACAAATATATTTCTTAACGAGAAAAATATATGATAACTATATATGGAAGAAAAGTAGTTTTTTAAATAAATAGATACGAATCAAATATCTTCTTATATTTTATCAAAAAATTGCATTCATTTTTGCTTGCCATCCATTTTTTCATATAAATGTAGTAATAGTAATAGAATTGTAAAAACGTTATGGCGCGAGCGCAGCGAAAAAATAATATTTATCTCTTTATGCATTGCTTTATTACAATTATACAAGCTTTCACACCTTGCACACATACACACGGTCAAAATATTCATGACCGATCTTCGGCTTATATTACATTCTTGAGCTATTTTCGAAGGAGGCTTATGATGATTTTCGACACTTTGTAGAACTTCTAAAACTACATCATCGTTAGTTGCTGTTTTAGATCTCCCAGACCTTTGTTCAACCGCAACTGAACCGGTTCTTTCGAATCGCGAAACTGTCCGATAGACAGTAGCTTTAGAAATTGGATCGCGGTTAGGATATGTTAAGATTCGCGACTCTTGGTGAGATCTCATTTTATCACCATACTCCCGCATCATAAGAATAGTAATTCTCTCTGTAGTAGTTAGATGCATTTTTAATAGTAATAAAAAATGTAATGGTGCAATCATGGAAAAATTAAAAATTTTATGTAGAAAAAGTGATAAGGAACGAGGTATTTCTCAGATCTTCTTTAATTATACGAGTAAGCCAAGAAGGACGATAACTCTTGTTTTTAATTATCCAAAGGCGGTCAATTAAGTGATCGAACAGTTTGATTCACTTAAGCTACAAAAGGACAAAAAGTAAGATTTATCCTACCAACGATGTATCGCGACGAGGATGTGTTATTGAACAGTTTTAATTATCCAAAAGTAGTCATGAAGATAATGAATCGATTTTAATAGTATGGACTATCGTACTTCTTCATCGATACTACCTCCACGCGGTACACCTTAGATAACGCGCCGGCGATACTTAAACTTTAAAGGTTCGTAACTCAGGAAGATCTCAAGCAAAAAGGGTTTGTAACCAGTGTTTCGGAAACGTCTTGGCACCAGCTTTAAGAATATGTAAAAGAAAATAGGTGTTTCCATTTAAGATTTCAAAGTTGACCTTCACGGTGTCCTTCAAGATCACATGAAGGTCATTTCAATATAACCGTATAATAGACCACTTGATATACTAAAACTTTTGTATTGAACATTTTTTTTCATAATCATTATTTTTCAAGATATTTGACCGTTGCCGAACTTTCTCCCATCACTGTATATAGCATTTCTGTTGAATTTCTTTATATTGAATGTAATTTCTTTAATCTCGCGACTCTATGCGTACAGCCGTACGTTGTTGCACGCGAGGCTGCGCGTTGATAGGCAATTGTTTTTCCTCGGTACTGTTTTTCGGTAACGGTTAAATCAGTAGTCAGTAGTGAAATGTGCACGTGGAAGGTCTTGTGCGAGATTACAGTCGGAAAATTTTTTATTGTAAAGACAGAAAGTGCTATTTGTGTGTGATAGTGTTATTGTGTATAATAGTGATCGCTTAATATTGGATTTATTTTAATACTGTGTTACGTCCAAGCCCTTGGAAATTAGATATTGAATGGGAGAGACAAGGATGGAGATGGAGAGGGTATGGAAGGACGTGCAGACTTTATCTCACAGGTATACGCGCAGAGGCGAATACCTGAGAGTCGGACGTACTTCTTATCGCTCCGGAATATGGGTCAACGTCCCGAAGGCACGCTTTAACGTCTGTTTCCTACGAGCAATGCGCACGTCGATCCTAATTTCGAATCAAGGAACCTAATCCTTATAACTCGGGACTGGACCACGCGCGATCTCTGAAAGGCGATGGGGAGTACGAGGTCGTTTTGGTTTTTTAAAGTGAAATGAGAATAATCATCTTAACAAAATTACATTTTATTACTAAACTTAAATTACATGTTAGTGAAATTTTAATTATATACGCTTAAGGATAATAGAGAAGTAATGTTTAAACTAACATTGGAAAATTAATTTTGTATACACGTTACCATAGACATTAGTAACTATAGAAATCGCAGAAATTACTGGCTAGTTATAAAAGATGAGGAAAAATTATACATGTTTTCTGCCGCGAGAGAAATATTATTAATTGATTCGGGCGAGCATGAGTCTACGTTTGTGTATGAGCGGAGAGGCATGTTGTCTTATTCAATTTCGCCAATTATAACAGAGGAAGGAGGGAAGAGGTCATGAAAAAAGTCGATCGGGACTAAATAAGGAAAGGGGGAACTGGAAGTGAACACTGGAATGTGAATTCCAGGAGGTTGTTCGGCTATGGCGGCTCAGATTTCTTCGGGATCAAAATAGTCAGGGCCGATGGTATAGGTGGCCTGCGGGAGAGGATCGGTGAATCGAAACGGTTAATCATCGAGTCGAAGATGTCACCAGGATAAATAAGAAATCGGTTGCGCTGGGGGGGAGATGGAAATTCTTCCAGAATTTCCACGCTTGACGTGGAATCAGCAGGAGATGGTGGACGAGGTGACGTTGGAGCGGACTGGATAGGGAAATCGGGAGTGTTTGTCGGGGTGTCGGGAAGTATGCGCTCCGTCAAAGCGTCTAAAAACGCGGATGATGGAGATCGCGGGGAAGGAGGAGGAGGTATCGCCTCTAGTACATGATGAGCCGATGATGACGAAGGTGGGTGAGGTAGCTGTGCAGGTTATTGCGTAGATTGTGATGCAAGTTGTTGTGCGTCATCGGTTGATTTTACTTGGTTTTTACAGAACTCCTGGTACACTTGATCTAGGAGTCTGCGCGCTTCGAGGAAAGCCCGACTTTTGAACCAACCTCGATGGGGACGGTGGCGCTTTGATCGGTTCACTAAGGGGTGATTTACGTTAAGTTCTGGAGTGTGTAATTTGTGAGGAGCGACTTACTGTTTGGTTGTCCGGGCAGACGGGTTGTTGAATTTCTAGCTTTTGGATACTTATTGGTCAGTGCCTTGGTTCCCCTGGTCTCGTGGATGGTGATGACCGAATTTTGAGCATTGATTCTAATAGCTCTCACGAATTATATATGAGTGATTTGCACTAAATGAAATATTTTTGTCTGTCCGTCTGTTTTCGGTGTCTCGCGATGTCGTGGTTTATATGGTCGTTTTTTAGGAGGTTCCGTGGTAGGATGTGTCTAATTGGGAAATTGGGGAATAATGTTCGCATGATTTTGATATTGTGGCGGCAGTAGCGCCAGCAAGTAGGCCGCCTGCACACATGGGCGCCGCGAAATAAAAACCAGGAGCAGCAAGTTTTCGCGCAAGCACTACGCGGGCCCCGTTTTCTCGCGAGTGCTTGCGTCGAGCATATCGCGAGTAGCGCAACGCAATCCCCAGGGGGCGAAAGCGCAAAGCGTGTACTCACGCGAGAAACTCACCCCAACGAGGGATAAAAAGCCCGTCGCGACAACAGCCCGACGCTCACGGCGCTTCCGAGAGACTATTGTGTTTTAACCAAGGAAAGACGCTCCGGCTATTCTCAGCACGAGAGAGAGTGTATCCCAGCAGACAAGCTGCAGCGAGTACCGAGGCCCGCAGAGAGGCTATCCAGGCTGGCCACCGCTTCACCCACGGGACTACCACGGGCAGCGACGGGGAACTGGCAGCTGCACAGACTGAATATATCCCCGAGGCGTCTTCGGCTGACGTTGCCGCCAGGAGTGACGCTCGACGAGAGGGACAGCCGACGACATCGGCCTACATCACCGAGCTACCTTTTTGCACCGGAGTTGTTGTCACTCTTGCCGGACACTCCACCCGGCGCAGGCACCGTTCTACCGGCCACGTCGCCCACAGCATCAGCAGCAACGCAGACGTCTGAAGGAGAGTGGACACCGACGAGGCCACCGCAGGGAACATACTCGCCGCATACGCCACCGGGCATACCGCCAGAGTGGAGGAAATATCTGCGGCCCTTGGTCCCGCCTGACTGCATTCTCGCGGACCGGAACTACAACGAGCAGGGGCCTCTGCGGTGGACGACCATCCGGCCGTATCTCAGCTACCGAGAACGACCCGCGCCGTAACTCGCGAAAAACGGCCCTTTTCAGGGCCACCATAAACTTATCACAATCGGCCCTTTTCAGGGTCCACTGTATATATATAAATGTGTAAATACATTGTACATAGATTCGTACATCATTGTGTTATAACTGCAGCATCTCCGCTACTCCTGCTTCGTACAATGTGCACGGAGAACAGTGAGGCCGATAGCGACGGCCGCTGTTTGACGTACTACTACCAAACTACATATAAGAGACAACGCCGCCAAAGATATCATAACAATTTTGATTGGTCATTGGAAAATTGCCCTCAAGTTAGCTCCGCCCGCTGTCGGTTTTGATTCGCTCTTATAATGTATCACCTTCCTAAAGGTTTCAGGCTCGCCCATTGGAGAGTTTCGTTTCTGGGGGGGGATGGGTGGTAAATCACCTACTTCCCTTTTATCAGCGTTTGCTTAAGGGAAAAAGGTAGTCCGCCTTTATCAACATTCCATGAGTTATTATTTTGTTGATTTCCTCATTATAAGAAAGTGTCATTATTAGATTTATGACTCCTTTTTGAGCCTATGCGTAAGACTATTATCGTTAGACGTGCGTGATATCGGCGTCGGATGACTCAACATCCTACCTTCTCTTCGAGTGTCGCGTTTATGATAAGACTCTTATTATTTGTAATTTCTTTCTCCATGACGCTCGAGAAGAGATTAAGTGCCTTGTTATCGCGGGTTACTAAATTCTAAATAAACATAGTTTCCTGTTGGGAAAGTTACTTCAATCGATAACACAAAGTTATTTGTGTTATCGATTGAATTTGTTCATATCTTACTTTATCGAACGGTTGCGAAACGAAGAAATCGTGGAATCTATTGGACGTAACAACCGGAAGGATGAATAAGAAGCAAAAATATGAGCAATGTTTCGAAAAGGCTTGGGAGGAAATTTTTTTCGCACTTATTTGCAATAAAATCACCTGTCTTCTATGTGGTTATCAACCTTCTATTGTAAAAAAATATATTCTTTGTAGGCATTACAATAATATACATTTGAATGAATATTCCAAATATGTGGGTCAGGAGAAATATAATTTAATTGAGGGATTAAAATTAATTAATCAAGAAGGTCGTAATTCAATTTCTATGTCGATAATACTGCATCTTTAACAAGAGCCCTTACTGCATCATATGCTATATCCCATGTTATTGCCAAACATTCGAAACCGTTTACGGATGGTGAATTCGTAAAGAAATGCCTCATCGCAGCAGTACAGTCATTCGAGGGCTCATTGACTCTTGAAGAAGCTGCTAGCATTCCATTAAGTAACAACACTGTAAAATCTTGGATAAATTGTATTGCTTCGTCCTTATAAGATAAATTAAAGTTTTTACTAGAATCTTGTTTTTTTTTCTCGTTATGTCTTGATGAAAGCACCGATAATCGACATGTGAGTCAACTGAGTATTTTTGCTCGAATCGTGCAAAACGATTTTTCATATGTCGAGAAGTTTTTAGATTTTATTCCATTGCATGGAACAACAACAGGCAGTGATATCTTCACAGGTGTCAACCAAACTCTTGAAAAATTTGGCACTGATTTTTCAAGATGTTCAGCAGTTGTAATTGATGGAGCAAAAGCAATGACAGGCTCGAAAACTAGACTTCTTGCACAAATAAGGCAATGAGATTTAAAATTCCCTTTTATACACTGTATAATTCATCAAGAAGCGTTATGTGGGAAAGTAGTTAAACTGTGCAACGCAATGCAAATGGTTATTAAAATTGTTAATACCATTAAAGGAGGTCACAAATTTCTTTCGCATAGGAAGTTTCAACACTTTCTCGAAGAGCATAACGCAATTTATACAGATGTGCCTCTGTATTGCGAAGTTCGGTGGCTCAGTGCAGGAAAATGCCTAGAAAAGTTTTTTGCTATAAGAAAAGAAATCTTCCTTTTCTTGCAAGAAACTTTGGATACAAAATATAATGAATTAAAATCTTTTCTTCAAGATTTAGATTCGCTTTGTGAGCTCGCTCTTCTAACAGATTTAACGAACC